GTTATACTAAAAAAAATGGATGTCATAATCTTTCCATGATGACCCAGAATAAATAACAAATGCATGAGGTAGAACTAGAAAAGGTGAAGTATAAAATATTGAATAAACTGGAGGACGGTGATAGTGGAATAGGATCTTCCCTAAACTACATTCTGGGCTTAAACACGTCAACCTGTTTGCTAATCACTATTGTTGTATCATATCACCAAAAACTTCAACGATCTGAAAGCATGAAAAATGTTAATTAATGGCAACAAAATAGAAAACTTCAACGATCTGAAAGCATGAAAAATGTTAATTAATGGCAACAAAATAGATATTATTGGAGGGTGTATTTTCTGGTTAAGGCTCCTGATGGTTATCATGCCTTCCAAAAAGCATTGGCCGCTCTTCATGAAGGAAAATTCTGCTTCTGAACACAGCAGACGTCTCGCTTTTTCCTTTGGTTGTTCCATTTCTGAGGAGGGGGATAAACGGATGCTCCATCATCCACATTTTATGCCGCTGATTTTTTTTTTTTTTTTTTTTTTTCTTGTCCAGGTCAAACTCCCCCAGAGGCATTTATATCCATCAGGCCCAGTGGGATGGTGGCTCTTGGGGAAGAGGTCACCATCTTCTGCAGAAGTGAGGAGGAATTTCATGGAGACTTCTATCTCACCAGACATGAAAACTCATCTGATGGAGGGACAACTGCAGGTACCAAGCAGGCAAAATCCAACGAGGCTGCATTTTCCTTGACCAATCTCAACCCATCAGATGGAGGCCTCTACAGCTGTAGATCTCACCGGCCTGAAGGCGATAAATTCTCGCCTCTCAGTGAGAAAGTCTATCTCAGTCTAAGAGGTGAGGTCTGCTCACTACTTATTTCTTTTTCACACCAATGACACTGGAAAGAGTTCCACAGTTCTGCACGAGCCAAATATTTCCTTCCCCTGCCAGAGAAGCTCATGAGTAACTTTGGGGAAACTTCTCTCTATCTACCAACATACTTCACAGGGTTGTTGCTGGGGGGGAAAAAGGAGGAGGGAGCACTCTGCACACCACCCAGAGCACCTCTGTGAGAGGTGGGAAATAAGGCTTTATAAGGCATGAACCCCCTTCATGGATCACTGCCTTGTCGTGGCGAAGGGGCTTGCGTAACTCAGTGA